CTTTCTCTCCCATCTCTTCCTAGCATCCCAGTAATGCAAATGTTACTACACCTGGTGATGTCACTGAGCAACCTTAACCTATTCTCATTTTTTATTATTATTATTGTTTCTTTTTGCTGTTCAGCTTGTTTCCTTTTCATTACCTGCCTTCCAACTCACTGATCTGTTCTGTATCCTCTAATCTGCTAACTCTCTGTAATACATTTTTCATTTTGATTATCGAATTCTTCATCTCCGACTGGTTCTTTTTTGTATTTTCTCTTTGTTGATGTTCACATTGAGTTGGTCCCATTTTTTTTCCCTCAAGTCCAGTTAGTGTCATTATGACCACTGCTTTGAATTCTTTATCCTGACATATTGCTGGTCTGTTTGATTTGGCCCTTTTGCTGCAGTTTTGCCCTGTTCTTTCATTTGAGATGTATTCTTGTCTCCTCGTTTTGTCTAACTCTCCATGTTTGTTTCTGTGTATTAAGAAGGTCAACTATGTCTACTGATCTTGAAAGTAGTGGCCTTAAGAAGAGGTCCAGTGGTGCTCTGTAGCACAGTGTCCCCTCTTTACCAGAACCAGGTGCTTCACGGTGGCTCCTCTGGGTTACTTGTGCTCTGCTTTTGTGGCTGAGCCACTGTGGCCTTCAGTCCTCTTGGCTGCAATGGCCCACTTTGCATGTTGTGGGTAGGATTTGGTCGCTGTGCCATTTAGGACCCAGACTGCGACCACTGTGGGCTTGTAGTTAGGCAGTGTCAGCGATCAGACCAGATGCGTTCTCTCAGCAGATCACCATACTGACCTGCAAGATGCACTTCCTGCCTTGTTCCTCTGAGAATCTTGTGTTGGTAAGCAGTGCCAGCAGCAGACCAGATCCAACCCCCACTTTGTCTGCCATGCTGCAGGACTCTCTTCCTGTCTTGCCCCCTGAGAGCTTTTTATTGGTGCAAGTGGCTGGCAGTGAGATCAGATGTCTGCCCCTATCCATCTGCTGGGGCTGCTGTGAGACTGGTTCATATGGTTATCTCCCATTCTCCCCAGGGCAGGAGTCACTTGGGAGTGCCTCTCATCCTTGTCGGGGCTGCTTGCAGAATGTGACTCAGCAGGAGCCACTTAGGGTTGTTACCTGTAGCATTTAAAACATCTGAAATAAGGCAGAGAACAAAATTATAAGAAGATTAATGTGAGCACTTTAAAGATATTTTAAAGTGTTTCACGTGGGGTTTGTTTTTTGTTTGTATTTTGTTTTTTTGAGAGAGGGAGAGCACGCTCCATGCTTATTATAAAGCCTGACACAGGGCTTTATACCATGACCTCAGGATCATGACCTGAGCCAGAATCAAGAGTCAGATATTCAACTCACTGAGCCACCAAGGCACCCTTACATTCTTGTTTTTAATAGCTCCACTGCTATTTAAAGAATATGCTCACAGTTTGCTTAGCTGCTTTTTTTTAAATTTTTAATGTTTATTTTTGAGAGCGGCAGAAACAGAGCGTGAGCGGGGGAGGGGCAGAGAGAGGGAGAGACACAGAATCTGGAGCAGGTTCCAGGCTCTGAGCTGTTAGCACAGAACCCAACAGGGGGCTCAAACTCATGAACCACGATCATGACCTGAGCCAAAGTCAGATGCTTAACCGATTGAGCCACCCAGGTTCCCCTATACTATTTTCTGACATTTTTCTTTTTCCTTAAGTCCAAGCCTAAGTGTTACTACTTCTTTCAAGATTAATTTCCCCCTCCTATTTTCATAAGTCCTAATTATACTCCTATTCTGATACAGTGTCAGGGCTAGGAATACCTTATTCAAAGATATGAGACCATGTCTTACTCATCTTTATATCCCCACCAGTAACATCCTGGGTTCACAGCATAATACCCTATGTAACAAATGATGGAGTACTGGAGTCAGATATTTTAGATTTTATGTTATGTTGTCACATTTTCAAACTTGCATGACATTTGTGTGGAGATATACTGTGGCATGGATATTAATGGGGATTAGGTTGCATTAGGGAATCTAAAATACCAATGGAGGGGCGCCTGGGTGGCTTAGTCGGTTAAGCGTCCGACTTTCGCTTAGGTCATGATCTTGCGGTTCGCGGGTGGGTTCGGGCCCCGCGTCGGGCTCTGTGCTGACTGCCAGCTCAGAGCCTGCAGCCTATTTCAGNTGGGTGGCTTAGTCGGTTAAGCGTCCGACTTTCGCTTAGGTCATGATCTTGCGGTTCGCGGGTGGGTTCGGGCCCCGCGTCGGGCTCTGTGCTGACTGCCAGCTCAGAACCTGGAGCCTGTTTCAGTCTGTGACTCCCTCTCTCTCTGACCCTCCCCTGCTCACTCTGTCTCTCTCTCTCTCCTAGAAATAAATAAAAAAATTAAAAATAAATAAATAAAATAAAATACCAATGGAAATTTGCAGATGCAAATTCCATGATGTAATGTCCTATGACATGGAATCTATAGCTATTTATTGAAAGTGTTCTCTGTCAGATGTTTTTTTTTTTTTATAAGAGAGAATTTTAGGCTAGAAGGCTCCAGTGTGAATCTCCAAGAATTAGTAAATTTAAATAAATAAAGGAAATCAGAACCACATTTGCACATAAATTGGCTTTTTTTTTCCAAAGTATTATTTCAAGGTAACCTATAACTTCGAATGTATTTTGAATAAACTTTAAAAATAATATGAGAAACAGTTGTGAAGTTCCTTGGGAGGATGTGATTATTTAAGTCGAGGTATTTTAAGTCAGATTACATTACAGTGAATTCTGCCAGGTATCTGCATTTTTCTTTTCAATTGTATAAGACTATTGGTCTGACAAGTACATTGTAAGTTACTTTCACAGTCTGTAAAGAGCTGAGCCCAAATTCTGCAACTGCAATATATGTTTGTGTATGTGTATGTTTTGAGATGGTATTTCCAACACAAGGAAAGATCATATCTTCACATCCCATTTCTATTCCTACCCTTTATGTTGCTAGTGTACGGATTGATGGTGCTAGGAATTTAGAGCATGAATTTGAAATACATGTGATTTGGTAAAATAAAAAGAGGGATGAATGTTAACTGTTAGACTAAAGGACAAGGGGAAAAGAAACTTACTTGTCCTTTACAAGAAGGAAGATTCTTCTCCCCTTGTCCTTTATCTGCCTACAAGTTTAAGTATTATAGAAAATTCACGCACAGAAAGGTTTAGGAAATAGCATATTATCACTTCATTTCTGACTAGGATTAAAATATAAATTTTCTATACAAAGTTAGAATACACAGAAGTCATTTATAACGTGGTCTTAAAGCAGCATTGCCATAGAAGTAGCATAAGTTTACAAAACCCTTGACTATTAAACAGTTCACTATAACTGGACTTTTACTTTGATGTTTGGTCTTAATATGTTTTTTATTTAACAAATAGGCTTTTTATTTCTTTCTTTGGCAAAGGTTAATGCGAGATTATATCCAGTTACTTAGTCATTGAGCAGAATCACTGAGGCTTCCAGACAACTATAGTGATACTGTTATCCACAGTTTAGTACATGAGATGGGATCTTTACCATTTCTGTTGCTTAAGGGATTAATAACCATAGAAATGAAAACTGATATTTATAAGATAGCAAAGTATATTTATGCTATTACCAGAGAAATCATTTCATTTACCTTTTGTTGTAGAAGTTTGTATAGGCAATAGTTTGATTCATCTTTGTAGAAATTTTTCAAATACCCTGAAGCTGGATGGTTATTTTTATCTGGTTTCTTTAAGGAAGGAAGGAGGGAAGGAAGGGAGGGAGGGAGGGAGCGAGGGAAGGAAGTAAAAATGATTTCTGGTAGCTTCTAGTGATTTACTTAAGTTTTGAGATAATTGGTTTACCTAAAGGAATCCTCTTGGGGTCAAGAGACAAATATGATTCTTTTTTTTTTTTTTTTTTTTTAATGCAATTCTTACTTGCTACTTAAAGTTTATCATTGTGGATTCTTGTTTAAATAACTGATTACTTGGGGGCACCTGGGTGGCTCAGTCGGTTGAGCGGCTGACTTCAGCTCAGGTCTTGATCTCATGGTTCGGGAATTCAAGCCCCGCATCAGACTCTGTGCTGACAGCTTGGAGCCTGGAGCCTGCTTCGGATTCTGCATCTTCTTCCCTCTCTGCCCCTCCCCCACTGGTGCCCTTCTTTCTTTCAAAAATAAATAAACGTTTAAAATATTTATAAATAAATAACTGATTACTTGAAAAAAGTAAATTTATACTTTTAATTTACTACTCAAGTTAACTAATAGTGCCTTCAGCTTAGAGAAAGTTGTCCCTTAGGTGTTTGATGTGTGACTTCAGGTAAATTACTTAATCTCTTTAAGGACCTATTTCTCTGTCATGTGACCTTAATAATACAATAAGGAAATGATCTAAAAACTTGCTACATAACTCCATTTTCCTTGTGCCCTTGACACATTCCTAATATAAGGATGCGTATCTTAGTATGCCAACCATTCTTTTAAAGTGGTTCTCCTCTACCTTCGGTTTTCAGAAGAGCCAGGTTCATGGGCATGCAATCTCTGATGTTACATAGGGCCCTGTTTTTGATTTAATGCTCTGGATTAATGCTCTCAAAATTCTTAATAATTTTCAACAAACAGCCCTACATTTTCCTCTTGCACAGGGACCAGAAATTATGTAGCTAGTCATGTTCCTCAGAAATCAGTTGTCATAGTCGATTATAATATACACTGAATAGTAACTGTCTGTGTAAACCATAAAATTTCCTTAGCTACAAAGGAAATCTTGGTACAGAAATTTTATCTGAATGTATTTTAAGTGGGGAAAAATACAGCTGAGAGTTACGTCTACAGTAAATCCTTTAAATATTAGCTCTCGTAATGAGGGTTTTTAACATTTGCCGTTTTAACAGAGTTCTATTATTTTTTTTTTTTTGTCATCTTAAGACAAAAGTATTTGCTTAAAACACAAGAACATTCTGTTACATGAAGAAAATTAAATTCAAAGCAGGGTTTAACTCATTATGCCATTACAGGTTATCAAGTTATACCCAACCACCAGCAAAACTACCAAGGACTAGTTGGAGTTCAGCAACCCCAGAGTCAGAGTCTAGTTGGTGGCCAGCCCAACAGCATTGGAAATCAGATCCAAGGAGTAGTCATCCCATATCCTTCAGTGCCATCATACCAGGTATGTTGTCACTATAAACATCTTTGGGTAGAGGTGACTTTGAATACATAAAATGTATAACTACAGTGCATCTTCTCTCTCTTTGTCATATAGTGGAAATTATTCTGTGATACATAATTTTATAGTTGTAAGAGTTGTATTAGTCATAGCAGCTTTGTTTTACTCTCATTGTATTGCTTTTTATTCATTCAATTCTTTAATTTTTATAAATATTAAATGTAAGCTACCATGTGAACCACATTGGTATTGGCAAACAAATTTTCTTAGGCATTGTCTATGTTTTCAGTGATATAAATATATAATAAGCAAGTATCTGATTCTTCAGCTTCTTAGAAAGTCATGTTGAGAGTGGAATGATGGGAAAAATAGAGGTAGAGGTCAGTATTTAAAAGAGTGAGGTAGAATACAAACTATAAATCACTGTTTATAGAATAGAGAAGAATGTCAAGTTTTTTATGCTGGAACTCATCTTTTTCCCTACCCCCAGTCCCAGAAAGGAATGGCACATGATACATTTAAAATGTTGTGGATTTTACTACATAAAATGAGTTATGAAGTATATCTTGTCTTTATATTTCCCTGAATAATTTACACAAGCACAGAATAATTCTTCTTACAAAATACTGAATATAGTTTAACAGAGAACTGCTTCACTTAAAAAATTTATTATTATTGATTCCATTTACTTAAAAGTCATAAAATTGGGGCACCTGGTGGCTCAGGTGGTTAATTAAGTGTCTGACTTCAGCTCAGGTCACGATCTCACAGTTCATGAGTACAAGCTCTGCATCAGGCTCTGTACTGACATTGCAGAGCCCACTTGAATCCTCTGCCTCCTCTCTGCCCCTTCCACCCCCACTCAAAATAAACTTTTAAAAAATAAGTAAAAGTTTTCATAAAACTATTTGAGTTTTCTGTTTAGAAAATGTTTTGGATTTTAATTTATAGTTCTAAAGTAGAAATACCTATGGTTTCTTGTATAGGTCAGTTATAATTAGTATAATATGAAACATTTTCAGAAATTTGTTTTATTAGCCTAATGGCTTTCCATAGCTAAATCTGTTGTTAAGAAATCCAAAGACCATTTCCATTCATCTCAACGAGGTAAAGACAATCTAGTTAGGAAGATAAATGTACATGTAAACAAGTTGATGATGTATACAGTCTCATAACAGGATCATGAAATAGAACCATGAATAGATTAAGAACTTAAATACAGAACTTCTCTGGAAAGATAAAAACCTTCAACTAGCTCTTAAAAGAAAATTATGGGCATAAATTGGTTAAGAAGAAATCCTGGGGATAGAGAAGGATATGAACAAAGATGCTAGCATATTCCATATAGTTCCAGAAGTTTTAAATTGAAATTAAATGTAAACTACAGAATTGTCATGGGCTAGTGAGCACTAAGAGTATGTGTAGTTTTCTAGCTTCCTGCTAATAGAAATCAACTAAGGAAGAAAGAAAAGATAAATATAAAATTAGATTTTATATTTTTGTTTACTCTCCAATCCCCATGCTTTTTACTCCTTATCCTCTGTACTTGAGCTCGGGCACTCATACTGCTCATCCCCTACTTCTCCATAGCTAGATATTATCCAGGATCAGTACCAGGCCAGGAACTCTGCCTTGTCAAAGACGTTGGTCATGCTACCTAACCCAGTACCCAAGCACTGTGAAAATAAGATCTGCCCTTCACCTTTAAGGGGTTCACAGTCTGGTGTGAGTAATATACTTTTTGAATAAATTACAGACTTACTAGTGTATTTAAAAAAAAGAGCTAGATACTGAAAAATGTTTCAGTGCTAAGCCAGTAATTATAATTTCTATAGCATACCTTTTTTTATAAGTTATAAATCATTTCTCAAGGTATTTTATATAATCTTCAAACTGGGTAAGACTATGAGAAGAATGGCTCTGTAGAGCATTGAAAACTTGCCTTATAATTCCTACTACCTCTGGTAGACAGTCTAGGTGGTGATAAAATGCCATCTAAAAAATAACCCAGAAAAATTATCTGTCCTTAGTAGAATGTATTTGGTGGCCATATGTCTCAAGTACTGTTCCCTCTCTCTTTTTTGGTACTTTAATTTTTTCTACAGAAGAGTTATTCTGTAGCTTAAATTATCTAGATTGAGCTGTGTCATTTTCCCTAGATCTGTCTTCCATATATATTAACTTAGATACTATCATAAATAATAATTTTAGAATGTTACACTCACTCAGTGGACAAAAAGGCTAAAATATGTTATTCAGAGTTGGATAAGTTAAACTAGTAACTTTTTCTTTGCAATATTTGAGCAAAATTGAAAGTGATTAAGGGATTACTGTGTTTTTTGAAAAGATGGTTTGCATTTCAGAAACATGTTATATAGGCAAGACTTGGAAGTTAATCAGTTTCCAGTGGCGCTTGGGTGGCTCAGTCAGCTAAGCGTTTGACTTTTGATTTCAGTTCAGGTCATGATCTCAGGGTTCGTGAGTTCAAGCCCTTAGTTGGGCTCTGTGACACTGACAATGGATTCTCTCTTGTGCCCTCTTTCTCTGCTCCTCTCCCACTCGTGCGCAGGTGCACGGGCTCGCTCTCTCTCTCTCTCTCTCTCTCTCATTTAAAAAATTTAAAAAAAAGTTGAGGCACCTGAGCAGCTCAGTCAGTTAAGTATCCAACTTGGGCTCAGGTCATACTCTGGCAGTTTGTGAGTTCAAGCCCCGCATCAGGCTCTGTGCTGACAGCTCAGAGCCTGGAGCCTGCTTCAGATTCTGTGTCTGCCCCTCTTTCTGCCCCTCCCATGCTCACACTCTGTCTCTCTGTCCCTCAATAAGTAAATGTTAAAAAAAAAAAATTTAAATAAATAAATTTAAAAACAATAAATAAAAAGTTAATCAACTTCTTAATCACAGGGGCTGTTATGTTGAGAATAGTGAAATGGTTAAGGTGCGGATGCTCTGGAGCCAGAGGGCATAGGTTCAGATCTTCTTAATCTTAACTTCCTGCTTGCTAGCTATACAATGTTGGGCAAGTTACTAAACCTCAATTTTCCCAACCATAAAAGAGGGATGATAAAAGTACCTTTTTCAGGTTATTAGGAAGATATGATATTATAACACACATAAAGTTATTAGAATGGAACCTGATGCCTGATGGTAACTACTAATATTAACCTCCATTATCATCACTATCCTACTGTTATTACTATTGCTAATATTATTGCTAACATCATCATCATAATCTTCAGAAGCTTTTATACTGGCCCTATTTATCAAAGTCAGTAAAATCTACCTGTAGTTTTGAGACACACTTATAAATTAAGAACCCATTACAACAGAACAACATCATCAGAAGAGCCCATTGTTGTCTATGGTTTCTATTTTAGAAACTAGAGGGGCACCTGGGTGGCTCAGTTGGTTAAGCGTCCAACTCCTGCTCAGGTCATGATCTCACAGTTTGTGAGTTCAAGCCCTGTGTCAGTCTCTGTGCTGACAGCTCAGAGCCTGGAACCTGCTTCAGCTTCTGTCTCCTCCTCTCTCTGCCCCTCCCATGCCCATGCTCTGTCTCCCTTTGTCTCTCAGTAATAAATAAATGTTAAAAATTTTTAAAAAAGAAACTAGAGAAACCAGTGAACTGAAAATCCATCATGTTTATGAGGTTTCTATGTAGATAATATAGAAAACAAAGAACTGAAAGATCCACTGTTCACCAGATGCCTACTGTATTTACATCCTGTAAATAGAGATTACAGTGGAGATAATGCCTCCCATGAGATGGAGGTAGTATCCCATTTTTTCAGATAAGGAGCTGATGGGCCTCCTAATAGCTAAGTCATTTGTCCAAAGTCTCATAGGTAGAAAGGAATGGAGCCAATACCACGTCTTAAACTCCAAACTCACATCTTTCTGATGCAGTGTAGCTCACTGGTGCCCTACCTGAGTTTTACTTAGCTCTGCCTGGGGCAAACTGTATGGTATTACTTTTTCCACATCAAATCATCATTCATATTTGGAAATGTCATCAGTGTTTAGATGACCATTTCCTTTTTTTTAAGTTCATTTTTTTTTTTAAGAGAAAGAAAGTACATGCATCTAAGTGGGAAAGGAGCAGAGAGAGAGGGGGAGAGAGAATCCCAAGCAGGCTCCGCACTGTCAGCACAGAGCCCGACCTGAGGCTTGAACCCACAAACTGTGAGATAATGACCTGAGCTGAAATCAAGAATCAGACACTTAACTGACTGAGCCACTCACGTGCCTCTGGAAACCATTTATTTTTTAAAACAACTTTTACCTAAGGACATAAGTCACATTTTATTTTTATAACCTAATATATCTAGCCTACTGTACAGTTGATAAAGGCTAGCCAAAAATAATAGCTAGCTGAAAAGAACAGAAATAAAGTTGTGGTACTATAGCTAATTTAGCATGACAGCCAATTGGCAGTTTTAGCTTATTCCTAAATATTGATACTGGAAAAGTTTATGGAGGCTGGAGACCCTAACATTTGCAAGGTTTTGAAGAACTTTTTTCCCTTTAAATTGTCTTTCAAATTTTAGGTTTCACTGCCTCAAAGTTCTCAAGGAATTGCCCATCAGACTTATCAGCAGCCTGTTATGTTCCCTAATCAGTCTAATCAAGGATCTATGCCCACAACAGGAATGCCAGTTTACTATAGTGTCATTCCTCCTGGTCAACAAAATAACTTAAGGTGAGTACGACCAAGAAACCTAATCCTATAGCTTTTCATTGTTTATCATGATTATGATCTGTTGCTAATTTTAAAATTCACTAAGGGGCATGATCTGAAATCATTATCTAATATAGAATAGATAAACTATGATACAGTCTACTTCTCTAATAGTTCTAACAAAATCAGTATAAGCAAAACATTTCATATGTAAACTGAAGAGTCAAATCATCTCTCTCATGTGCCTAAAGGTAGGCAGTTCACCTCATAACCAATAGTGGTCATAGACCTTGGAGTTTGGAGCATTTCTTAATATTTAAGGTTTTTGTAAGGAATTGGGGGAGAATATTTCTTGTATATAATGTTAGCAGCAAAATTTCTTGCTGAAATTTTTCAGGCTACGGGGAACTCATTTTTCATCACTAAGTGGAGGAAGGCATATAGCAGAAGCAAATGATAATAGCTCTGTCTAAAAGCAAGTTATGGAACTACTTCTTTAGCTACTTCAACTCAGAAGAAGAGAAGCTTCTCTGATAAGCCTAATGTGATACAAATAGTAATCTTCCTTTGAATTGGGTCACTTTAGTCCATTATTCAGAAAGTATTACAGTCTTTGATTTATTCTCATGACATCCCTGTAAGGTTGCCAGAGGGACTGCATTGCTGTTTTCAAGAAGGAAGACTTAAGTTTTAATTGCTGGTAAACAGTTGGCACTGGTTATGGTTACCGATGATGGTATTAGGGGTGAGAAAGGAATTGACAGACTTGTTTCATTGAATCTACTTGGGAGAATGGAGACGTGCCTCTCATTTTATTTTTTACCAAACAGACACAACACACACACAGGAACTCACATATTTCCTTGCCCTTTCCAGCTCTGTGATGTCACAGATTGAAGAGGCCCAGGATTTTTAATCAGCAAGTTGGTTATGAATCACAGGCAGCTTTGGAGTTTTATATTCTAATGAGCTCTTTTGAGGTAGAGCAGCTACACACTGAAAATAGAAATGTATACTGTGTTAAATTTCCCATTTATTGTATAAGTTTAAATTCTGTAAATAAGGAGAAAATGCTCCCAATCTGAGCTGCTTTTTCTAATTTAAGTAAACTTGGGGTCTGTAATTCCAGTTCAGCCTTCAATTGTCAGAAGCAGAATTTTGTGCTAAAGCAGGTGAAATGTATGGTGTGAGAATGGCTGTGAATTATCTGCGTTTTGAACCAAAGTATAATGTTTTTTTGACCTGAGAGAAAATTACCAAAGAAATCATTCCAGTGTAGAGCAGGAGCTGAGATTAGGGGATATTACTTAATACAGTGACTTACTAGAGATCAAAAAGACCCCTGGTTTTGTAAGTTTTATAGGCCTGCATGCTGAGTAAAGGAGCTTTCTTGAAAGAAGATCAAGTCTAAAAGGATCTATAAAGATGGCTTAGACTTTAAACTTTCCCATGTTTGTTATATTTATCAGTCCTTTGAAACAAAAGCAATCTTGTCTCCACTTCTGAGGGAGCTGGCCCTAGGAGTGTCTATAGATGTGAAAGAGCACAGCCCTGTACTACCACCCCTAAATTCAACCTTGTTTTAAGTATGATGGCAGGATCTAAAAACTGTCAAGTAGATGCTGATAATTATACTTCGGAAAGAACCATACGAACTTTTAGTTCCTGGGCCTGCTTCTGCAAGAAAATAAAAATTGGGGGAGCTGGCCTTGGCCTGAGAGATAGTTTGGAAGCCCAGCAATTAAAAGAGAAGTGAAATTTCCCTCCAACTTGAAATTTAGAGAAAGTTTTGGGAACTACTCAGTTTAGGGCTATGACCTAGAGGAGTAAGTTCAGTGTGAAATAAGCTAGCTATATATTGACAGTAGTAATTGGTTACTGTGTAACAAACTACATTGATCTCTTCCAACTACAGATTACCAATGTGAGAAATGGAATGGGTGTCACTTAAAGCAAGAATCTGTATCCTGTCAGACTTTTATCCTGGTACCTTTTATGCTAGTTATTAAGTAGGAGTACAAGTCATATACAGAATTGATTTAGGATACCCCTGAGTGAAAAACATTTGTATCTAATGTTATTTTTAAAAATTTTTAAACTTAAAAAACATTTTTAAATATAACAGCATTTTAAAAAATGTAACCGCATTCTTTACAGAAAATTTATTTGTTATTCTGGGCAATATTTAATAAACAAATTGCCATAATATTTCAGGTTTCCAACTTAAAGATCAACTGTTGGCATTTACTAATTAGGTCATCATATTCCTATCCAAGAGCTAATATTATAGAGACCATTCCTTCATTAATATAGATTTGTTTAGCTTGTATAAATTATACTTTATCTTACATATTCCTGTGTGTTTACACACAGAACAGAGGTTTATCTGAGTATTCCAGCACCTAGAGCAGGGCCTAACCCAGGGTAGAAGCTCGGTAAATGCGTAGTAAATTGAATACACTTCTTTAATGGCAGAGGCCAACTTACACATATGTATTGGTACATGTATATTATTCATTCTCAGTTATGTACAGTTATGGGCCTTAATGTTACTATTTTGTTTCTGTAATCTCTATATGCTTTTAAATTTTTCATTAATTTTTTTACTACAAAATATATTATGCTTGCTGACACAAGTTAAACAATCAACACAAAGGTGTGTAAAATGAAGGCTAATCATTAGGCCTCACTCTGCCCTCACCTCCAGGTAACCGGTGTTCAACATTCTAGAGGATGGATTCTCTCACATTAGCCTCCTGCCCAAACAAACATATACACATGTAAAATACATATGTATTGAAATTAGGCAATAGGTTCTAATGAAATAGACATTATCTTGTATTCATTCTTTAACAATGTATTGTCAATATCAGATTAGTAAAATTCAGTCTAAGACATTTTTGTTTTGTGTGTTTGTTTTTTCCTAATTTCTTCACAAACATAGTTTTACATAAATGCAGTCATGTTGTGCAGGTGTTTTTTTTGTTGTTGTTGTTATGATGTCCTTCTTTCCCCTGACCCTGTCAACGAGATTCTTTTCCATATACACACATGTTGGATAACCCATGTTTCTCTTCTGGTTTATATCCTTCCTCTCTTCCTCCTTGTACCTAAGCATATGCTAACAAAGGTAATGGGTATGGAGACCCAAGATTGATGAACACAGACATAAAGTGGAATTTATAAATAATTTAAAATATGAAATGTCTACAACTTGGGTTTTTTTTAATACACAACCATATCATGTTTGAAATATGAGAGAATTAAATCTTTCAAATTTTATACTACAGTTGATATAGTAGATTTTTTTTTCCAGCTAGCTTCATTTATTTTAAGACACTGTGCTTATAACTTCTACCATTTTCTCAGGAGTCCAAATGTATGCCCTGTTCCTAAAGGCTCTTCATCATGGAGTCTAACTGATTTGATATCAGGTTATGAGGAGGTCTAACCTAGCTACTTTTTATAGATAACTGAATCTTGTGCCATTAGGTATTCATTGATGGGGAACATGATACGCTTAGAAGAAGATGAACTCGTGGGCACCTGGGTGGTTCATTCGGTTAAGCAGCTGACTCTCACAATTTGTAAGATCAAGCCCTACATCTGTGCTATCTGCGCCAAACCTGCTTGGAATTCTCTCTCTCCCTTTCTCTGTGCCCCTCCCCTGCTCTCTCCTTCTCTTTCTCTCTCAAAATAAACATTTGGGAAAAAAATTTAAAAAGAAGGTGAGCTTTGGAATCAAAACATGATTTCAAGCATGTGTGACTTTAGGCAAGTTAATTAGTCTTTTTGTACTCTGGTTTTCTCATCTATAAGAGATAAGTATAATACCTCACAGGATCAGTTTGCAGAATTCAATGTGTAGGACTTTGTGTATAAAAATGATTCTAAAATACAGTTTATGCTGCCTATGTTCTTAAGTAGAAGACACTGAAAATAGTTAAGATGTTTTATTGCTGATTCAGAGCCATAATCCTGAGCATCAGTAATTACAGTGTGCCCCCCACAGAATTTTGAAGCATGTTGGACATATTTTCATTTACTTTCTAACCTCAGAGTCTTTCTTGGTCAGTTATCAGTAGTGTAGTGTTCTAAATCTATAGTGGAGTTACCAGAACTAAGTTTTTAAAAAGAAAGGCTGTGAGTCAGATCCTGGAGGGCTCTACTTTGAAAAAAGGTTGTGATATCCTTGAGGAATTTGTGACTTCTATTTTAATAGTTCATGTCCCTTTACCTCTAACCTGGATCTGAGCTATGTTCCAGATTATTGTGGTGGTTAGACACTTCCCCAAAAAGTAGTAGGAAAGCTGAGAGAAATCATAGACTATCATTAGTTTGTCCTTTAGGCAGAAAATATTTTTGAGTGTTATTCCCGAGTAGACTAAATATAATAAAATGTTAGTTTATTTTCTAAATTACTTGTGTTTTCTATGTGACCAGAATTTACATATTTGTTCTTTTCTTGTATGCCAAGCTAATACTTCTTAAAAGACATTCCCTTTGTAGGTTTAACAAAATTTATCTCAGGGTTCCTGGGTTGCTCAGTCGGTTAAGCATCCAACTCTTGGTTTCAGCTCAGGTCATGATCTCACAGTTCATGGGTTCGAGCCACATGTCAGGCTCTATGCTAATAGCAAGGAGCCTGCTTGGTATTCTTCCTCTCTGTCTCTCCCCAACTTGTGCGTGCGTGCACGCGCTCTCTCTCTCTCTCTCTCTCTCAAAATAAATAAACCTTAAATAAGAACAGAAAATTTATCTCCATTTACTTCAGTGAATTTGAAATCTGCATTTTTACCAAAACATTAAGCTGAGGAGTGAAAAAATATACTACATTATCCCTTCAGGGTAACTTACATAAAGAAAATATGTACAGTTGATCATTGTTGTGAATTTGTATTTGCAAAATTGCCTATTCCCTATAATGTATTTGTAATCCCAAAATAGATATTTATGGGCTTTCTCAGTCATTTGCAGATATGCACAGAACAATGAAAAATTTGAGTCACCCAACGTACACA